ACCAATCGCAAATAAGTCATATGTAAAGAGTGTATTTAATGCGTTAAGCGCGCCAACCATTAATGCATCAATTTTATATGCGTCGCGAATAATTACTCGCGTGATATTTCGATTTCCGCTTTAACAAGCGGTCAGGCTATAGAATTGAAAATTCGATCGATTGCCCGATAAGGACAGAGTGAGATTATCTTCGTTTAATTTCGTCCCGTCTCTTGTCTCATGCACCATATGGTGTGTCTATATCATATCTTCATATGTATCACGACCCTTCTTTTTCCTATATATATATTTTGAAGACATATATGTACTCTGAGACCATATATGTACAAGAGTATATATGTATGTCTCTCTCGAGGTGAAAAACGGTGCCATTAAAAGTATTGCGCTAGTTAGTCGACGGATTTTAACGACTCTGACAATCTGATAGAAGAAAGAGGCCTAGAAAGGCCTAGAATGCCAATCCTGAAACAATCTTAATGTAATTTATTATTAATTGTTCATTAGTTGTTATATAAATAATGTACAAGCATTAATAATTTAATTCATTTACTTGAGTGATTTAAGCAAGAGAGCATTAAAGAGAAATATTTTTAAATTAATCTTACTTTATGAATTCTGTAAAAGTTTCTATTTAAAAGAAAAATCGTCTTAAAAGTTATAATTTAAAAAATATTTTATATAATTGCTTAGTGTTACTATATATGCATTGCATCGAAGATTTAGTTTGTACAATAATTTTTAAAAAATATTAATTATCTTAATCAAAGCTAATTTGGATTTTATATTTGTGTGTTACAGATCAACGTAGCTTCAATGTCAACTCCGCTGCTGCGCATCAGTCGGTGAGTGATAAACTTTTGTTTTATTTTGACGCAACGGATTTGTAGAGATTTATAGATGTAGATAGATCCTTAAAATGGATGGACTAGAACAGATTAGGCTATATATTTTATTCTAAAAAATGTAGGAAGTATTGTATATTTTATTTATATAATAAATTTTACTTAATTTATTTGATAAAAATACACTAATAATTATTAATTGTGTATATACCTAATTATCAACTGTATGAAAATAATTATGGTAATTATATAAATGACTTATAATGCATTCTAATTTCTTTAGTCTGTCCATTCATTTTAAAATATACAATATTTTTATATATTATATAAAAAATTATTCTTATAACAAAACTACTACAAAGATAGTAATATTAATACGAGATGTATAAAATGTACTTAATGAATAGAATAACTTAATATTAAATATTGATATAAAATTGTATATAGAGTCAAATATAAGAACATAAAAAGTTTTAATTTATAGCATTCTCGCACTGATTGTATGGAAATACTGTAAATTTCTTATCTCTCCGATCTCGCATCATTTATTATGAATGTCTCACTCTCTGATACGCTTTTGATCGTAGTGAGATTACATACAGCAAGGATTACGGGTAATGCGAATATGGGTTTTACATGGACAAATATGATTTTGTGATTCACGGTTTGCGGTAGCAAAATTTGTCTGTTTCTCATATAATTTTATATTCATGTCGTATAATTTAACTCTGAATATTTGCGAGACACGATCCATTTTCTGATTCGAGCGATTGATTTTCTGCATAATATTTAATCTTTTATAAATTTAAAAAAATTTTACGAACTAATTTTATTAATTGATATTTATAAGAGATGCATAAGGTATCTTTGATAGCATCCGAAAGCATTTATGTAATGTAAATTTATGAAGCTTTAAAAGAATAATTTATCTGCGCGTTTGTACATGGTTATTAATCATCAAGGATTAAAATGAGGAAAAAAATGAGCAGTTAATTTTTTTAATTTTTTACAGTTTGTAAATTACGATTGCCCCCCTTGCTTAAAAATATACAATAATCAAAATGCATAGTATGTACAATTCATAAACTTATTATGTACATATACATATCTGTGTGTAAAATTTTGATTTGCATAACACTATGGAATCTATTGAAGCTGAATAGAAATAACTACATATATTAGCATTGCTCCGCTTAAGTGAACGTATATGTGAAACTATTTAGGATTTCCGTCACGGAGGTGCACCACAGTGAAAACTTTCAAGTGTATAGCAATCATTTCGACGCTTTGCCTTCATTCCCTGAATAGGAAACAAAACATTGGTTTAATCGTGCCGCGTTCGTGACCACACCGCAATTCGTTGCCACCATTCTCTTTTAGGGTAAACACAGGGTCAGTTTGTTTCCGTAAGCAACATTCGGTATGCATGCGCGAACACTCGCCAATTTACTATCCGCCTGTATTTGAGGTAGCCGTCAGAGCGTGAAATGCGCCAGAACGATTAGCGAGACTTTCATTATCGTAAATGAGATTTCTCTTTTATCCGAAAAACCAATTGCAATAAATTTTCACATCGCAGGCCTCATTTTCCGTGCAAGATAAGTTTCAAAATCAAACAAATAAGATCTAATCTTGTGGACATTTCGTATATTAGAATAATCTTAAAATATTTGAGCGATGAAGAGATATGTACGTGAAATTGACAGGATTCATAAAAGTTCTGCGAATATTTTTCTTGAGAAATTCGTTTATAGAGAGTAAGAAGTGCCTGACGAGAAAAATTGCGTGTGTCAGAGCGACATCGCGAGAATCAGAACTCTCACGTGTTAACTTTAACATGTTTTTATTGACGCACTTACTGTAAAAAAATGTAAATTATAATAGATACGAGAAACTAACGGAGAAAATTGAAAAAAAAAATTCTACTTAACAATTCCACTTTGTTATTACCACAAAAATAGCGTCATATGCACATATATACATTATATTAATAATGTAAAAGATAATTTTAATTGAATATATTCTCATTTAGCATATCTATATACGGATTAACGCGTGCAAAGTCTCGCAAAATCGACAAAGCAAAATTTTATTATTAATTTCCTACATTTTTTTATCATTCGCCAAAATACGCAGAATATATTTATATATGTTACCGTGTTTTTCATGTTACGTTATTGTGTTTCTTTTTAAACAAATTTTTTGACGCAATCGAATGTGTAATCGAAGGACGAGGCGCGCGCACGAGAACCAATCGACATTATTAAATTTCAAAGCGCAACCTGACAAGCATTACGAAGAGTATTTCGTATGCACTAGGAGCATTGCAAACTGTGTTGGAACGCATATGGTATGGTAGTTAGGCCGCACTGTCAGAAGATGTTCAAAGCTGTTTCGAAGCAAGGCATTTGACAGCGGTTTCGGTTTATCACCGAAAGACCAATGTGACATTGTTACACTACGGGGAATTTACCTCTATAGAGATCAGGAATAACTTGAGAGGCTGGATAATATGCTCAACCATTTTTAAATCATACATCCGAGAGTTTGATTGAGCTCTTCTATCTAAGAAGTTCTCAAGAAGCAAGATAGACTGTCAGTACTTCTCAACGCGACCTCGTTTCATACCCTTTCCTTATATGTCTTATATTATGCAAATCTTCATGAGATTTCCCTATATTGCATATTACACGGTATTTTCGTCAAAGTAAACGTGCGTAAAGTTGTTGCATATCTCATCGTACGTTTCGCTCGAACACATATAATACGCAACGCCTTGCGAACACACAACCGCGAAACTATTTTTCACGGATTATAACAGCATATGTGCGAAGCAAATAAAAATTCTCCATGCGCAGTATTTTTACCGAGCAAACTTTCCAATTAAATCCGTTCGAGATTTCAGTGATTTCTCGGTCGCTACCTTACCGGTCTAATTACCAAAAGAATGATGTAATTTAGGCAGCGATGTAGAAAAGCTTGATCCGCCGTCGAGTATATACCCTATATATATATAGCTTAATCTATATTCTCGCAGGTTTTGCCAGCAGAGAAAGAAATAATTTTACTGAAATTACGATTGCTTTCCCTCTTCTCTCGCCCTCCTTCTCTCTTTTTTTATCTCTCTCTCTTTTTTTGTAAGTTTAACGTCGTTTATGTAACGAGGCAACTGATATTATTTAGGTGCCATTATCCAGCTACATTTCTCAATTTCGGGCGATGCGCGCGTACTATTTCTAAAACGTTTAAGCGATGCGAGAAGATGCGGGTACGGACAGAAAGTTGCTACAAATAAGAACTATATATAATATATAAATTTCGAACTGAAAGTTTCGAAAATTTTGGACGTTTAATGAAAAAAAATCTGAGAATTTTAATTCCAACTTTTTCGTTTATTTTATTATTTAATAAGGAAATCATATAATATTTCGCGCACATCTTGCCCCACTAATGTAATAACTGTACGTACAATATATATTTAGTGAGAAAGACAGTTATAAACTCTCGTACCTCTATTTATAGTAAAGTAAAGATATTTTCTACAATAAGGAAGAATAAATATAACGCGATAGTCAGTCTCTGTGATATTCTATAATTTATAAGTATTTGTACATTACACGATGTCACTTTAATATCACTAACTGATGAGAAATAATAGATTTGAATAATCAATATTTTCAATATTTGCTGGAAAAAAGCAATTTATGCGGAATAATGTTAAGCTGATAATTCGTTGATTTATATAAGTCAGATTGTGTTCCAATAATTTCTTGCTACTGGGATTTAAGACAGACAGGATTTAATACAATCTCACGGATTACAATCTGCACATGTATTGGTAATCGGACACGGAAATCAATTGTGAATGAGAACGGTGACTGTGCACAAATGCGGGATTGTTTCGAAGAAAAATCGACGAAATATGTTTCTATCAATTGGTTTCTGTATTATATCATTTTTTCTCACATACATATATTATATATATATATATATATTTTTTTTTTTTATTATCGATTTATCAAAACCGAGCAACATTTGCAAAAGAAGCGATTATTCCAATTATTTCTTTCGTTATTAAAAGGAAAAATATTTTTTAGCGCTAAATGTTCAATGACAATTCTGTTGGACAACGTTTACTTTACTAATTGGCTAACTCACCTTCGTATCATTGTAAATAAGTCGTAGACGGAAGCGTTTCAACACATCCGACTCGTTGACACGTTCAACCGCCAATTTGGCCGCTTGAAGCTCGCAGGATCCTTCCGGCCTCTGCGCCGCACCGCGTGTCATCTCGAAGAGACCTAGGATGGTTATATTTGTCTTCTCTATCGGTCTTGTACTTTCACGTCTTGGCACTGTCACATCGATCTCCACCCTTCCGTCGAATTCGTCCGTATCCCTCTTCGTCACGTTCTCGAAGTCGCCGTATACGATGTTTGGAGTCACCGCAAGTTTTTCGGAGCTCGACTTTACGTCCGAAAAACTCGAACGCCACGACTCGTCGAAGGTGTCATTTTGCTTGTCATTCTCCTCGATCGCCTCTTCCTCGTTTATCTCGACGACGTTCTCAGAACTATCATCTGTTTTGCGATGAAGCACGTCTCGACTGGGACTCTTCGGTAGATCGAGAAGCACCGTACTCGGATACCATGTGGATGTTTCTTCGAGTATATCCTCCTTGTGCGGGCCAAAGTGTCGCCTGTCAAACTTTTCAATCTGCGGCAGTTCTGCGGACGACTTATGATTGATTTTCACGGGGAATTTCTGAGAACCCTCGAAGCCTGTGAAAGGTGCTTCGCTGTCGACGACGTTGATATCGGTATCGTTATCGCTGACAGATATCGCCGATACGTCGTCGACTCGCGCGAAATAACCCTCATCTTCCCGATTGTCATTCAACTCCTTCGCTCTGCCGTATTTTCTCATTCTAAATACCGGGGCATTATCGTTATTGCTCGATTCGGAGCACGCGCTATCGCGACAATTTACGATAGTCGAAATTTCTGTCGCATCACCGGTATCCATGTTGATCTCGGTTCGATTCTCAATTTCCGAAATTTCGTCCATCTTGACTCGTCGGTTCTCGATGGAAGTGGCGTCGACATCGAAGTTAGGAGCAACCGTATTAATCGCGATTGTAGCAACGTATGGATTGTACGAGTTTGAAGACTCATTAGCAACGTTGAAGTTGTCGCTGAGGAGGTAATTAGCCGTGCTCTCAGATTTACTTGTACCGCGGCTTCGATTATCATGAGCGTAGATATTGCGGTCGTCCAAATGAGTTCGCTTCGTGCCTTCAAAATCGACAGTCTTGCGATTACTTCGATGATCCATTACCGAATCGTCACCGAAGCGTTGATTTGTCGCAACGTCAATATCGCCCTCGTTCGCTCGACTTAAGGTCTCACTCTCGCCCGAATCTCGCTGAACTGTGAAATCGCTCATGCGTTCACTCGCGCGATTAACGGGCGTTTCAACGAATAAATTATCCGTGTTTAGATCCGTTCGCTTCGCTCCATCGAGATCGACTTCATTACGATCTCGTCGACTTCTCGTCGGTATTGCCAAGTGATTGACACTTGAAGCCTCGCGCAAATGCAACTGATCGATCGGAGCCCCGATTACTGTACCCTCCGTATTGCGATTGTGAACAGAGCTCTCTGGTAAATTGCCGACACTTTGATGAGGTCCACCTAAAATCGCCAAACTTGCATCATTATCGCTATCTTGATCGTCCTGAAATTGCATTTCGCCCTCATTTGCCGAGGAGTAAGGAGCAGCTTGGAACGTCGGCAGGCCACCTTGCTTCCTGATCAGATTATGCAACCGGTTCTTCGCAGTTTTCTTTCTTTGCTTCATATTTTTTAAATCAATTCCGCTGCTAACTTGCAGATTTTTCACAGGCTCGTTAAATTTCCATTTCAAATAATTATTAGTCGTAGATTCAGAATAAACTTGATTATTAATGATGATGTTTACAAGAGTACCATAATCGTACATTCGTTTTCTTACTGTCGGGTCGCGATTGAGTTGGATTTTAAGTAACTCACTGGCCACGTTGTCATTACCAATCATACTCGAAACTTGGGTGTCGCGTTGCATCCATTTCGAGATCACTCTAGGAGCCTCGAGATTGCTCTGCTCCATGTATATTCTTGCCTCAGCTTGGTAGGGAAGCGCGCTCGGGTCACGGCTCTGGGGCCTCGTCTTCTCGTCGCACGATAAGACTGTGCGAAGAGAGATAAGGCCGAGAAGGAGGAGGGTCAGGCAATGGCGCGCGTGGAGGGCTCCGGAGGAAGAGAACAACAGGAGGAGACGAGAGAAATGCCGCCGCGTGTGGACGCGCGTCATAATCAGTCGTCGATTCTGTGACGACTCGAGGCGCTCTTCCGGTTTCTTCTCATCTGCAAAAAAAGATATTCTGCCGTGAATTCAATCTGAATTGTGAAATTTGCAGATGTCAAATTAATGCATATTTTATGTATATGATAATATACGTTATGTATAAATAATTGAAAACAAAGAGCTTTTCGCGAACATTATCTTGATTGAATTAATATAGAGTTGCATTCATGATATATTTAATAATATAAATTATATATATAAATAATAATAATAATATGCACATAATGTATGTTATATATACATTGTTGTGAATGTTATTAAACGTGTCAGAGAGAAGTTTTTCATGAATGCACATATAATATATCGATATCGAATTTGATAGGTATTATTAAATTCTTTTTAATCTATCGATCGGAAAAGTACTTGCAAATAAGTCAGATAATTCGTACAGACAACAAACTTTTCGAGCAAAACTATTTGAACCTTTCTCTATTTGTAGGTAAAAAGTTTATTTACTTGCATTATATGTAGACCTTTTACCTTTCTAAGCATCTCGACGTCAGAAGCTTCTCTCGTAGTATCTCAAGCAAAGGAAAGTTTTTTTTATATCGAAAAGCTCTTTATCTTTAATCTGCACACAGAAACTCATTTAAGACTTGTTTTTGCAAAGAATTGAATGCACGTATACGCTCTAATTAATTATAATTTACAACTATTATCTGCCTGTAGGAATTGTAACAAAGCTTGCTCGTATAATTGGAAAATAGAATAATAATCTGCTAATGGAAATATATTCATATATATATAAATACCCCCGACCGGTTAACTCGATATCACGCTTGAGAGATTCGACGTTCTCAATTTCAAATAATAGGCTTACGAAAATGAAATAATTTCATTAAATTGGCGGGACACAAGCACAATGAAATTTAGATAGAGATATCACGTTAAGGGAAATATAACTGCGACAAATGTATATTTAGAAGTCTCTTTAATGTCTTCGCCAATTATACTAAGAATTTAAGGTTCGTCGTATCATTTCGTTAATCTCGTTTTTTTATGAGTCTTGCATAGGAAAACGTTCACAGTATATAATATGTAAATTCAATGATATTTTTTAAAGTGCATGAGTGAAACTTGCTTTCATTAGCATAAAAATTTTAAAACCAATTATTTTTATTACTGATGTAATATCGCCTTTTATGGCATATCCATAATATACATAATAAGAAAAAAGCAGCTTCTCTCTTTTCCTCTTTTTTTTAATAATCATCGCGGATAGCAGATTGTCTCGAATATCTAACAATGTACGAAGTACATTTGAGAATATCCTACAATCCTACGAGAAGTAATATTGCGAAAGAAAAACGATCAGACTAATCTCTGTCGCAGTAATCTGATTTTCATCGACAGGTAATGGGGTTTCAAACGAGATTAGAGAAAAGTCTTCAGGCTGAGCGCGTTTAAATCGTTATCTACGTCGTTATTACGCAGACGAGATGGCTTGCGAAAAGTTGTAAAATCTATATCTCCGAACCATACAAATGCTAGAGATGGACCCTTTTTTACCCGAACGAATACAAATTCTGCCAAATATACACATAGAAGGAATCAACATCTTTTACAATTTAGCGAAAAACCGATAAGGGTTATAGGTAAATGTCCGGCGGCATTTACTGGCCTTTGTCGCAGTCGAAAGATCCATTAAGACGTAATACAGTTATACGATAGTATCGCGCGCGCTAGTAACGCTGTTAACTCCAAACTCTGTTATGAAGGCGCACGAAATGTTTCGAAGCGCGGCGGATGCTGTAAAGTTTTTCTTTTTCACGTTAAGGGACGGCAAGAGCTCGAGAGCTACTAACACGAATATTAAGTCTTGTTACATTTAGTTGTGCTACATTCTTTTCATTCTAAATTAGAAGATTTCATAAACTACGCTGTCTTTTTTATCGAAGAAACGGGGTGGCTCATTTGTTGAAACACATACGTTTGTTCCCTAACTCAAAAACTTTGTCACGTAATTTACTTAATGCTATAGCGCAATGAGCGACGACAGTACGAGAATCGCAAAAGGTAGCTTAACGAGCTCGCTATTTTCATTCGCGCAATGAAATTGTTAACCTCGCTTAAATGTTTTAAATGCATATCATAACTTGACAAAACATTGGTATAACAAGGTGACTGCAATTAATTTTACGCATGTATTATTAAACTTCTAACAATTTGTACGTGTTACTTGTAATATGTTTCCTACTATAAAATAAAATTACATTTTATGCATATATATATATATGGTATATATATATATATATATGTTTGTGTATGTATGTATGTATGTATATGTATGTATAAATCATTTTATTTTACAACAAAAATATATTTTATAAATGACACACACATATACATATCTGTACTACCAATAACATTGCAACTCTATATATAAATTTATGTGCATATCTTTAAAATATAAATATAAAAAATATAAAAGTATTTTGTTAAAAACTGAAAAAATTTTATTAATTTTATAAAATAATTTCAAACTCGATCTATATATCATAACTGAGTTTCATTAAATTTCCATTAAATGCCTAGATTATATAGATAACTTTATATATTGTACATACATACATACACACATATATGTGTACATGCATATATATATATATATATATATATATATATATATCGTATATATATATATATATATATATATATATATATATATATATAATATCTGAAAGCTCGACATCGTATGTCAGAGTTCAAATGAAGTGTACATATGAATCAGTGACAGCAAATAAAAAGAATGATAAATGGTTAAAAACATTAACGTCTAAAATGCCAACACAATAAAAAAAGAATATATTTCTTTTATAAATATATTTGTGTTCTACAATCACATATACAACACATATAGGGTTATTAACTTCCGTTGTGTGGATTTTATTATTTTTTCTCTCTCTCTCTAAATCTAAATAAAAATATCATTATAAAAATTCTCCATTAAATCAACTCAACTCTGTAAAAATAAACGAGATTATGTAAAGATGTATACAGCCTCAGCTAATCTATTACAAAATAATATATATGAAAATTTAATATATAGAAATGTATATGCAAACATTTTTATAGTAATGCTGTAAAAACTCATATATACTCATTTTTTTAGAATTTATACTTTAATCCATTTCAGCATCCTCTATAAAAACACAAATCCATTTAGTTGCGTTATTAATCATTATCAATATCTTTTCTTCCTATCGCTCTTTTTTTCCTTCCCTTTTTCTTTTCTATCTTATATAAATCACATAAAATTTATGAGGCACAATTTTGATTTGTATCATTATTTATTCCATCAGACAGAGTAAATCTTCTTCGCAATAAAACTGGTTTTATTTGAACGTTCTCGCGACAAGCGAAGGGTGGGACTCTCTAACATTTCCCTATTGACTTGCCAATTGACATAAGAACAAAAGACGCGAAACCTCGTATAAGGAGAGATATCCGTCGAATCTGACTCACAGTAAATTGCAGTCGCGCGTCCTTCGATGAAGGGTAGACGGGTGACTCAATTCGAATAGAGAGACAGCGAGTGATGTGTTATAGGGCAGATAGTTCTGATATTCCTATATGTCTATCCAACCGGAAGTTGGGAATACGTGAGGTGTGTCTGATTAAGAAATGTCTCGAATACCTCATGGTGTCCGCAATAACGGCGTCAAGAAGCCGCAAGCGATGTTGAATAAAGGCATACGAAATGAAAATTTTATTCTTATTGCACATTTGGTACAAATTATTCAAGATTTTAAATTCGACTTACATCAAATCTGAATATGGAAAAGAAACTTTTTTGCTAAAAATTTAATAAATATATTATTATTTAGAGAACTTGCTATGTCTGGTATTCAGAGTCCCTATAGGAATTTCTTCGAAATTATGTGTGGAAGTTCAATATTGGCTTCTGAAACACCTGGTTGCATTGAGGACTTACTATGATAAGCTATATCACCTATATAAGCAATGCGCTTAAATATTCAATACAATACATAATATATGAGCAAACTACAGTTTCTTTCTTTAAAAAATGTTAAGTCGAATATATATAATTACTCGAATATATCGAAGTGTTGAATTCTCTTTTCCTGCGATGCTGATTGGATGCTGGCGCGTTGCGATATATTCGGGGTTAGTGTAGGTGAGTTCGAGCGTTCTATTATGTACATAATTTGAATTTTCAAATTTCTATTATGTACATAATTTTAATTCATCAAATAAAAATTATATAATAGAAATTCGATGAATTAAAATTATGTATATAATAGAAATTTGAGAATTAAAGTCATGTACATAATTGAAATTCAGCAAATTAAAATTACGTACCCTCGCGGAGAAAAAGTTTGGTGCGCGCTTGTATCTAGTATATTATTAAAAATAAGATTACATCTTCTATATTATGAATTAACATTATAATTTTTTTAATATCTTTTATGTAATAATAACATTTTTTAAATTTATTATTGAGATTGATATATGTAATTTTATTGATATCATTAAAATATTTTTTTACAAAAATATGTTTCCATTACGATAAAATCGTTTAAGGCATTATTAAAGTGAATTGAGTAAAAGAAAACTTTTACAAAGGAACTGCATAAAAAAATTAGAAGGAGAGATCCAGATCTTTAAATTCAGAATTCTTTTCTTTTTAACGATTATGAAAGAAACATCTCATCAGATGTTATTCGTTTTAAATGATTACTTGATTAAGGATTTGAAAGAAATTCTATCTGTTTTACATCTATCAGTCTCAAAAGTATGGAATTATATTATTGACTTGCATTTATAATTTATTTAATTCTTCGTTAATTGATTGAGCTTTTAAATATAAGACTTGATTTCATAATCAAATTAAATTGTTTTTCAATTGAAAAATTTCTTTTAATCTTAACAATTAAATTAAAAATAAATGTTACCTAATATTTAATACGGGAATACTTTGACAGACTAGACTTGACAGTGTATTCTGATTTTGAAACTTCTCGACAGACAAATCCACGTCATATTCAACGGGACAGACGTTGCACAGATAATAGACAAGTCCGACATAAGGTTCAGATTAAATTTGAGTTTACAGAAATTTCAAAGTGGGAAGTTAATTGATGGACAATCGTGTGGATTACATATTAAAACAGTTTTACTTGTTAATTTCACGTTTCATAATATTGTTTCGAGCTGATTGACATTTGTTTTAACATACGCTTTGTCATTTAAATCAGGAGAATTATTTTGATAGGTGAAAGTTCGCCAGAGGCGAGGAATTTTTCATCTTCAATTTTGTATTATTTTACTTTCATTTATAGATAATTGAATAATTTTATATGTTGAAATATCTTGCTATATTATTAACCGAATCATTGTTTATGAGAGACCAAACAATTTGCTTTAACCAATACGTCATAATCACATATACAATATTAATTCATTATTTTTGTATTAGTATAAAAATAGAAATGTAATAATAGAGAAAGTTGCTATCGGAAAAGTTCACGAAAACGAACACATTGAATTTCAATGTTTATCCTTCGCCAAGTTTGATCAGTTCGCATCAAAAGACTAAAGATATTGAGCTTCTTCAGCATCATGGCAGGATCATGCCAGCGGGGGTTTCGAGTGAGGAGCACATTTTCTCAAGCTGCGCACACGAAATTATATAAGGGAAAATGTAGAGAGTATAATGTGACCCCCTCAAGCTTGTTGATGATTTTAATTTCCCGCGGAAAGGAAATTGATATTGCCAAAAAAGTGATCTCAAGCGTGGAGCGTATAAACGCGTGGTCGTCTTTGCGACATACATATTTTAGCGATAAAATTACACGAGAAGCGTCAGCTCTCTTGATGTTATTATAAATGTACCAAGGAAGCAATACGTAAGTGCTTTTAAGAAATTACACTCGTTTGACACGTACATTTGTTCTATTGTCAAGATTATGCAATTATAAATTATTTTTCAAGTATAAAATACGTATAATTAAAATGAATTCTCTTTATGCGTCGCGTCGGTATGCATTATTAGTTGAAATATTAATGTAATTATATGATGTGCAACTGCAATGCAAAAATATTGTCGTATTCGCGATAGAAGAGTATATAGCAGCGATTATTAATATCATTGATCATCGAATTGCATACATTATCATCGAGAAAGGTCCTCGATGTATTATTTGCGATTAAAAGCGCATTCACTAGACGCGGAAAGGATTGCATGAAATACCGGGTATTTATAGCGTCACGAAACGGATAAAACGTAATGCTTCGGAGTTGTTAACATCGGCGCCGCGACCGCTTTAAGGTGCGCGCGCCTGAAAAGGTGTAATAAAGCGGGTAAGCACGCGAAAATTACCGTAAAGTTGTACGGCATTCCTCTCTAGGCCACATTTCTCTCGTGCACGGCTTTACCAGAAATTGATTCCGGCGAGGGAATCCTCCTGCAGGCGAGATCCTGCCTTGCGAAACTTTGTTGATTTTTATTTCGGCTCACCCGGTGCACTGTATTTTTTTTTTATTAGCGTTTCGAATTAGCATCAAACAGGCTGACACTTGGTCCTGCCATTAATCCCGCTGTCCTTCCGGTCCGGAAAAGTGTCACCGAGTTCTTTATCACAGCGCGTCCGATTTATGTATCGCACGACACATCCAATTTACGCATCGAACTGGGATATCCAATTCGAACTTTTGCCCTTTGATCTCAACTTGAGAACGGTTCCCTCTGATTCTACCAAGGCAGCAATTGTATATCTTGACACTTATCGACTGGTCTTGAACCGGATATTCTTCGAGCACTTCGCAAACACTAACGGAATAAAATTTTGTCCCGAGTGATTAAAGTAACGTAATCAACTTGCGATGATGGCAACATCGTTAAATAAATATCTTCAAGATATATATATATATATATGTGTAAGATTTTTGCAGGTATAACATTCTCCGAATATATAACGCAAAATTGACAGACCACGAATATCTTCCACGAATAATCTTTAATTAATTGTCTTGTTCACGAGTCGCATCGTTCAATTAGCGACGTCGGATCACAGCTAATCGTTTTAGTCTCGACGAAGTAATTCGTATTGCACTGACGATACTATTTTCGGAAAAGTTATTAATGCAGAGCCGCAATTCCCCACGCTCAATTTGCCGGGTAAATTAATGGAACGATGCATCATGTCCCTGGAGCCTATTCCAAACATAACGCGTACACTTCCGTCCAAATTGCTACCCTATGTTTATTGCTTTTTTTCCTCTCCTTTTTCTGTCTTTTTCTCTCTCTCTCGCAGCGAAACGCGAGAAATGCAAGCGCGGATGACAATGTCTGGGTGTTTTTTTTTTTTTTCGACAAATTGCTCGCGTTTCCTGATGCGTAGACTATCTCGATGTACCGTTTCTCTCGATCGGAGCGGGATGCATCGCAAAAGAGCAACCGCGTCGCGTGGTGGCGGTTCGCGCACTGTTACCCCGTGATATTCGCCAACCCTCGTCTACCAGGAGGAGTTTTAGAGCGGCCGTATCGGTAATGCGCAGTCGCTCGTGCTTCCTACAACCCCTAACGTTCGGATACGCGAGAGAAAAGTCTCCCTCGGCCCCTCGTGCGGTGCGGAGATATCTGTGCATGGATCCTCGATCCTCCTTTCAATCTCTCGTTCGTGAAACTCCAGTCGTGAACGATGCGCGAACATAATGACACGAGCATATACGGTGCCATATGCGTCGCCTCTTGCGCGAGAAAGTTCCTTTGAAAGTCGAGCGGGATGAATTTTTTCCCTCAATGTCCTTACGGAGCTTTCGAAACTGGAAATTGTGCTTTCGCGAGCGCGTTGTTTATATATTCTCCGGCGAAAGGAGAAATAATTAATGTGATTAATTATAGATTGTAAATGATATTTTATGCATGTAGACATTAATAAACTTAGTAATTTATAAAGTTATATAATATACAGTAATCATTCCTCATTTATATATTAATCGTACAATATTACAAAGCAGCATAAAATAGTAGTTGTTTATTCGGAACTCTGACGTTTATTATATATAACAGAAACATAAACATCTGAAACTACATTAAAACTTAGACTCCTTTAGCATCCTCTTTAATTAATTAGCCAAATTCTTAATCAATGCCAAGAGTAGATAAAGTGAATAAGATTGTATTAGAAGGAAGGAGAGGAAGGGAGGTTGTGTACATTAATATCATTTACTATTCTCAGTAGGATCTTCCTCGGTATTTTCATGCTCAAAGTTAGAGTGACTCCCTAATTGTTTCAATGGAACTCTTCAATTACTATGGCCATCTTGAAAGCTTTTCCTCTTAATCTCATGGTGATTAAGTCGGTCCCGGTATAGTTATCCGAGTAATGAAAAGTGACCTCTACGAAAATTCTAGATGGCAGTTGGAGATGGCTTAAAGCCATAAACTACGGTGGACGAAAATCAATTAAGAAAATAATGAACCTCGTTCTCGACGGACCACGTTTGTCTACGACGTCATAAAATATGTCAATCGTCATTCTATATACGGCTTTAGCGATAGTTTATGTATTCGTCGTATGACTGCGAGTCCCATAAACCTCGTTCGAAGTTTGAAGGACGATAAGAATGCAGCGATGTTTCACGCTGCAAGTTTCGCTCCCACTTCATTCTTCGAATAATTTACTTGTAGCCAGGAAGTAAACTGCCATGAGGCCTCTCTCTCTCTTTCTCTCTTTATCTCTCCCTTTGCTAGGGACGCATTCATCTAATCTCGCAAAAATGAGCCGTGGGAGTTAGATTGTTCCTGTATTTCACTCGCAGCCATACTTTCCATAACTGAAGTTTTCAATTGACTTCGAGCGACAAACAATGGAAGACTTTCCGTTGATTGTCCTTGAACATGCAGTTTGCCGCAATCAACGCGGATGCAGTTTCTGTTTAATGAGCAAACGAAACCGCCGGTGTGCTCAGATGTTATAAAGGCTTTTGACCTTTTAAATTGTTCAAATTTAATGAAACTTTTATAGTTCAAGCTGCATCAATATTCTACATGTTAGTAATTTCAATAATTAATGTCGGAAGTTGCAACTAACAATAAGTGTTTTACAGCAATTTTTTTATAACTCTTACAAAATTTTAAAATAAAATAAAAACTACAAAGAAGGGAAATATCTAAAAATAGATGCAATTATTATTATTATTTTTTTAAATAAAAGTTTGCAATGCAAATGACAAACTATTAAAACAGCTGTAATACAACAATAAATCGACAACAACTCCTTTAGACCCAAAATTCAAATTGAAATTTTCTAGATACAAAGCTCGCCCTTGTTTCAGAGTGCAACGCATAATTGTGTATGCAAATTAAGGCGAAGCTGGAAAACGTGCATTTGACGGAATAAATAACTTTCTTGACGGGAAACGCAGTTATTTCGCACGTATTTTGCATCGTCGAAGAAAATAATGCGTGATGAAATCATATAAGCATATTATCAGCAACATTGCAGGCACTAAATTCCTATTAATAAGATTATAAATTACAGTCAACTGTTCGATCAATATAGAATGATTCAGAGCAATAATGATAAAATGCATAGCTTGTAATGGCTGTCTTGAATCAAACCTTGGCTTTATTGCCGTATTATTCGCTTTCTTTTTATATATATATAGTTTCTGTACAATTTTCAAAATGAAACGGATAATTAGAGAAGATCGGCAAATGGAATTTTCTCTCTGGATGACCATTACTAAGACCATTACTAGCGCGGGATTTCCCACACAAACATTAATTACCAGATAAAAAGCGAAATCTTTGAAACTTTTAGATAGCTAAAAAGATTTATCCGCAATGGTTAAATAGTCTTTAAATTACGTCTCGCACTATATATATAACTTTCGAATCATTTGGGAATTTTGTTAATGAAAGTTATCGATGATATTAATTTTTCCTTACATTTGCAGTCTATTTACGATTATAGGTAATGCTCTGCTATTTAACGTCGTTAATTGCATTTGCTGACGGTTCTTAAATTTTACAAGCCAGCAGGTGAAATATGTCAAGTGCAATTATATGCCGACAAATTCCACGGGGTCCTCTCTCTTTGTCCTTGAATGCTCTGCTTCGCCGAGAGAGATCGATCGACTTTAACATTTCTGTTATGCTCTTGACTGACCATTTAAAGCGATTACGTCGACCCGTTTCGAAAAGCAAGACGAGGATAACTGGAGACGGCCGGTTCATCGAATAATACCCTTTGTGTCGCTTCTGAACTTGCAGGAGTTCAATTTGCTGGGCATGCTTCCGGTGATCATACAGATAGCTCCGGCACGTGTGTCTCGATCCTTATACACTTGAACGACGATGAGGCGATTATTCATAACTCCATCGGCACAAAATAGGTCGAATTATTCAGCAGTTATCCAACCAAGAGTTGAAAATATCTCACAGACCGAATATAATATTTAAATTGCTCGCCATTTGGATTTTATCTATGAATCAAACGATTATTTAAGACGTTTTAATATGAAGTTTCAACACTTGCAAAAATTAATCAATCGATGTAACAAGGTATGAAAGAAATTGAACTTTGATAAAAATGTATAAAAATTTTATTAACATTCGTGGTAGAGAATTCCATTTTTGTAAATTTTTTCATTTTAATTTCTTCATTTTGGAGTACAAAAATGAAAAGCAGAGTTGATCAGTTTGCCTCTCCTGGGGAACTTACATATATATATTTGTTATTTTAATACTATAAAGACTTCAATCTCCTTCGGAGAATTGAAAGTTTCGTAATAATTCAGTATCGATATAATACACATTGGCAAAATAGTAGCAAGATTACGAAGTAATAGCGTACTGTTCGTGTATTAGCTACTGAATTCACTGCGTCTGGCTAAAGTTAGCCCGAATTGCATCGAATCCCAATGGCGAAATTCGCTAAACAATATATACTATTCCAGTAAGTTGGAGCTTTGCCAAGATTATTATTTCCCGCTATGTGTTCTGAACAGCTAATGCCTTTATCGACCATTTATCACCTTGTGTAATAAGACGCCGAACAGTACGTACAAATGCATTCGTCGAATGAATTGATTATATATAACTATATATAGACATTCAGATGCATTCGGTATCTGTTCTATCTGATATACATTAAAGCATATTTAATATTCGACGTGCTCTTGAAATCGTATCATAATAAAAAGCACAAACGTGCAGAAAGAAAATAAATACCGGTGTGTTTTATTGCATAAATGTAAATTAATTGTGATTTTAATATAGTATAAATGTTCAGTTTTAACCAATAATTAAAATCTGAATATATTCTTCTATTGGCAATATTTCTGCAAGACGCGGTGTAAAAGCAAATCTCGTAAGATACATTTTCAAATTATCCGGTTGTTGAACACGAAAGTCAAATAGAAGATCCTCACCGGGACAGTCTCTTTGGCGGTCTCTTTTACATTTCACACACTTTTATAAATTTAATACGAGTAAAACGCTCCTCTAAAAGCGAAGACCAATGTCTGCTTCGTACTTTGTAAAAAGTCAACGTTCGAAATAAACCGTTTCTCTCTTGCTTTCTTCATTAATTTTTACAATTTAAATTCTGACGCGACTTTATCAAGCGCGTTCGGGAATATAATCTCAAACGGCGCATAAATCATAAATGTCACGAAAGGTTTTCACTAACTAATCCGCTTTTATTACGATTACATCTCGGCGCGTTCATATCTAATTCGAATTTTCTAGCGACGCTTATATTCAAACGCTTCAATTTGTCGCTTATTCGCGTTAAAAAAATAACACAGAAAAATATAATAAATGTGAAAATCTATTTTCTTCATCTTTTGGTATGGTTCGATTTCAAAATACAAAGTTAACCCTCGACATATAACTAAAAAGAAGAGAGAAAAAAGAGGAAACGTTAAAATGAGATTAAGATAGCTTCAAGATAAATTAAGACGAAATTACAGAGTAAATAATTCTCAATTTAGAATTTCTAAGATGTAAATATCTTAGAAATACGCTGGTCTGTAATATCTTGATCAAGACTGATCTTCTGCCTATCAAAATTTAATTAAACGCCAAATTCTTCATGAGTTTTTTAAATTTTAACACATCTTGATAACTAGTCAAACCTCAAGTTAAAAATTTGTTAAAGTTAGGTTTATCTAAAATTAGAGTAAGATACAAGAGTAAGATTCAGTTATTTATTTCCTGCTTCTTCTTGAGATAGAATTTGTTAAAACTTTATCTTCAATCCAGTAGCTTAAAAAACTATATGCCAACATACTTGTTAAATATTATACAATATTTAGTATCAATTTACCTAGTACTATATTTGTGAATATTATACTTATATATGTAAAGTTTGTTAAGTATAATTAATTAACAAAAAGGTCTCCAGAAAAGTTTCAAGTCAAAATTCTGTGACTTGCGTCCTAAAATTAAAAAAGCAACT